GTTTTGGCCTATGGCAAGGCAGCTTAGAGGCAGGTAGAAATTTCAAAAAGAGAGACAGGAAGAAGGCTGAGAGATGCCAGCTGCCCAAGGAGCAACATGTAATGGGACGCAGGTAAAGCCATGGAACATGTGGCGATATATAGATGAATAGTTATGGGCTAATTTAAGATATAAAAGCTAGCCAGCAAAAGGCTTGAGTCATGGCCATGCAGTTATAATTAATATAAGCCTCTGTGTGTTTACTTGGGGGACGGGAGTGGGAGAGATTTGTCCTGATCAGCGGCAAGATGGGACACAGAAAAGCTCTGACTACAGAAAGGGTCCCCATGGAAATCCCCAAACAACCCAGGCTGTTGCCAAGACAATAAATTTCTCTCCACAAACTAACAGCAAGGCCCCATAGCTAAGACAACATCCACATAATTCATTGAACATGGAGAGGTTGAGTTGGTGCCTACAAAGAACCTTCACTTCCGCATTCAAGTGTCTGACAGGGAAAAGTACTCTGCAGGCTACCAAAAGAAAACAGCAACAGAATCATAAAACCTTTGATCTATAATCTGTCCTGCCTGCAAAATAAGCTAGAGCAATGGTGGCACAAATCTTGTGGGAGTAACCAACAGGTGTCTGATTTGATTTTAAGGTTCACTCCATGAGACGGAACCCATACCCAACACTGCTTAGGTAACCAAAAACTGGAGACTAGATACTAGATAGCCCAGAGCCAGAGACCTAGAGTAAAACCAAATACTACTGGTCTTAAAAAAAATGTAAATGATTCCTAATATTATTCTTCTATACTCATACTCATATATCAGTGCCTTATTCATTCATCATCAGGGAGGCTTTCTCCTGCAGTGGATGGGAACAAATACAGAGACCCAGCTAGATATTACACAGGGAGGGGGTGTGTGTGGAGAGGTAGAGGGAGAGAGAGAGAGAGAGAGAGAGAGAGAGAGAGACAGAGACAGAGACAGAGACAGAGACAGAGAGAGAGACAGAGAGAGAGAGAGATCTGGGAACACAAAGCTTTAAACAGGATGTCTCCATCAAATCCCTCCCCTCAGAGCTCAGGGGAGGCAGAAGGAGCAGGGACAACAGAAGGGACAGAGGAGACCAGGAGAACAAGGCCCTCTAAACAACTGAGCAGAGCTCATGCTAACTTACAGAGACAGAAACAGCGATCACAGGGCTTATATGTGTCTGCACCAAGTCCTCTGTCTGTGTACTATAGTCTTCACTTTAATACTTTTGTGGAACTCCTAAACGTGCAAATGAGTGGGTCTTTGATTATTGTACCTTCTCTTGGGGCCCATTTATTTTTCTGTTGGCTTCCCTTGTCCAACTTGAATATGACTGTTTTTATTTTGTTTTGTCATATTTTGTTGTTACTTCCTAGAAGTCTGTTCTTTTTGAATGGGAGACAGAAAGGAGTGGATCCGAATGGGATAGGAGGTTGGGAGGAACTGGAAGTAGGAGGAGGGAAAACTATATTCAGATTATATTGTATGAGAAAAGAATACGTTTAATAAAAAGGTTGGGGGAGGAGCCACTTGAAAGACAGCTTCTTTTGTACACGAGTCACCCTGTCATTAGTATCATTTCTGAAAAAAAATTTTAGAAAACACCCAGAATGCTTATAATTTACTACTACCCTAATGAGAACAGAGAAGTTATACCATATATTTTAAAGGATACTGAAATAGGACAATAGAGTGGAATTTTGAGAGTATATCAGTTCTTTATCTGTGCTACAAAAAGATAAAGGAAGATTAACAAAAGAGTAATTTAATTATATGAAAAATACACAAAATACAAAAAGGACCTAACTAACATAAATGCTAGATTTTTTTTTAAAGGTTTAATGTGAAATTTTTTTCATCTTTGTAAGATGTCTTGAAGACAACTCATCTCTGTGAGTTCTCAACTTCTCCATCTCCCAAATGCTGCTGGTAGGTAGCAGATGGTTAGTTAGCCAATGCAGGAAACGCAGCTGCTGAGTTCTAGTTTGCCCCCCCCCCCATCCTAATCTATAGAATCACAGTAGAAATTTTACTGGAAAGTAAAAATGAAAAAAAAATCAAGCTGAATTATATCTATTTAAAAAAAGATGATTGTAGCTTTAAATGAATCTGGCTTCATACATTATATCCTACGACATAAAAGAACTTAGTGAATTTATTTACATAAATCTTTGTGCTAAGATGATTTGGTTGAGGTACCACATAGAAGGGAGCTTCACCAAGGATCAACATGCATATTTTGTTCCCTGGCTTAGAGATGGTATTTATTAGCAGCTCGACAAGTGTCCCTGACACTTAGAAAAGGAAGTAATGGTCATTGGAGGCAGTATGAAGTCACGACGCACAACTAAGCCCAGGTCACGGGGAGGAATGGTAATCACAGCACCACTTACCAAGTGTTAAAAACAGCTCTGTGGAGCAGAACCAGCGATTTCACAACTGAATGAATGCTCAGCTGGTCAGAACGGAACCCCACTACTCATACATCTGTGTACAACTGGATGGAGCTAGTTTCTTGTGAACACTTCCTTCTAGTCTCCAATGGAAACAATGCAATTTTATCTCATTTGCCCAAGATTCAATTAAGCCAGAGTACACTGTGTTCTAAAGGGGTGAAGAGGGGAGAGCCTCCAGTAAATAAAATGGAATCTTAAAGACTCAGTGGGGTAGTCAAGTGCCTGGTTCATCTTAACAATTACTCCCATTTGTTCCATTATAGATGCAGTAAACCAAGATCAATGAGTAGAGATCAAAAATTTTAGTCCACAGGGAACTTTAATGGGACCAGTTCAGAGGACTATCCATCAATCCGAGTAATGATAATCCATCTCGATACTCTATTTTCAGGTCATGGGAATAACTAGAAATTCCTGGATGAATAAAGAGCTTCAGCGTCTCCACATATAAAAGGATCACTACAGGAAGCATCCCAGCATTACACCTGGAAAATGATATGCACTCAAAATGCCCAGAATATATCACACTATGGGTGAAAGGCTGCGTTAGAAATGCCTACTAGGCAAATGAGTTCACATAGCATTATGAAGACGCTGTTTGCATTCTTATCCACTGAAGTCAATTCTTCCAGTGTTAGGAGAAATGTTGACATGGTTATCCTATATATCAGTGGAATCACGTTTTTTATTCCTCTGTATTCTCATATTAGCTTTAAATTTTGAGAATGCTCTTCTAGGGGTGTATTTTTTTAAAGAAATATTAATAAAAATTTATCTTTAGTGTCTATGGCTTTGTAGTATTTTGTAAATACTTTAGTATTTTTAAATCCAAACTGCCAGCATGAAGCCATTTAACAAAGTGATTTAACCTAAAAGTAATGTTATGTTGAACTGTTTTTTAAGAATTACCTGTTCAACTGCAAAGAAAATAAACCCTCCCGCCCCCGCCAATTTATAAAGGCCTGTTTTGCCCCCTTCACGCAATTTTAGTGAAAATAGCTCGCCAAGAAACATTTTTAAACTCACTGTCAATAAGCTGGTTTTCAGTTTTGCATTGTCTGAGTCACAAAGCACAGATACAATTTAAAAAATTGACTTGTGGCTCTTTGGAAATATTGACTCCAGAATAAGTCTCATTAACGAGCATTAAAAACCTTAATACCACATAGAAACTAGACATTCTCTTATAGCTCTCGTGCAAAAGAAATTGTTTGAAGTGGCTGTGAGCAGAGTCACACACATCCAGCAATAATCAGCCTTTTGGTCTCTGGTCATTCACTTCTTCCATAAAATAAAGCATTCCAGATGGTTTATCCAGACTCATCAAGAAAACATAGTATGACAAGTAGTTTTGGGAAAAGGTGTGTGGACTTCATTTGTAGTATTTGAATAAAACTTTTTGAAAAAGTGTTACACATCTAGCTTAATTTTTGGAACTGGTTTTGAAACAGAGTACTGTATATTAAAAAATCCTATCTGGCTCATAGTAGTCCCTAACCTTACTTGCTTTATCCATTTTGTATCACATTAATTTTATTACTGTCTATACAAGTTTACATTACAGGCTAGGCATGATAGTACTTCCTAAACTTTCCTCACAAGGCTTTTTGTCTAACCCAATTACATTGATTCTGAATACTAAGTGTTAATGAACTCTGAAAAGGGCCCACTTCAGAACTTACCCAAACTGTCCATTATCTTTTCCTTTTGAACATATTTTAAGCTGTTATAAAATTATGGTATTCAGGCCAAATAGAGCCTGCTTGTTTTATAAATGAGGTTCTGCTGGGAAGAACCAAGACTATACATTTATTATCTACTGCTGCTTATGCTGTAACCAGAGAGGCAAGCAATTGCTGTCAAGAACACAGGACCTTTAAGCATCAAAGTTTTACTATTCAGATCTTTACAGAAATTTTTGCACTTAGTTAAAAAATGGAAAACATTAAAAAGACTGATTTTATTTGAATTACAAGAATGTACACATTTTTCTATTCTATCCAGATACCCATTTGGCCCACACATGAAATTGAGTTTTGTGAATGCTTAAAGTATGTAAACATGACCTACAACACTGCTTCTATGAATTCTTTGAAAAGTCAAGAAAGCAGCTTCATGGAACAGACAGATTGTGGCAGCAGAGCACTGCTCTGGATTTAAGTAAATACCCACAACACTGAACACAAGCTCCTTTAATGGCAGACATACCCCATTTTTTTTAAAAGATTCAGCAGTACAACAGTATTTGAGGTACACAGAATCTGTTTTCAGATACTAAATTCTGCGAGATTACTGGGCATCTAAAGATTTATCTACATCCTCCTGGTCATTCTTACTTCCCTACTAATTTTTGTTGCAATTTAAGTTTGCAATTTGTTTCATTACTCAACCAAAATGTTTATTCACATCTCTTAGACCTAAGGAACAATTCTTCAACCACTATAGGGAAGTGGGATAAACATCTCAGGTACGACTCAGGTACCTGTAGAAGACAATGTACTGTCTAGTTACTTTCTTTAAAAAAAAAAAACACAGAAAGAAACACGTCTCATTTATTACTATTATTTGCACGTATGTTACAATAATTCTCTTTACAGCCAATTTTCCATAAATAGTAAATTACCAAAAGTAATAGTATTTCCTAAGTTTTCAAAATGATCCTTAGATTTTTATATCATTTAGTAGAAAAATAAATGAGGCAACCACATTTATTAATTTAGGCAACGTTTCCCAATAAAAATGTAGAAATATTTAAATTTACATAACACCATATACGAACACAAAGTCAAAATCCACAATTACACACTCATAAAAAAATCTAAACACCATCTTCGGAACAAGTAGTTTCTGTACAGGATTTACAGCCATCTAAGCACATGCTGAGTCTTCAGTGTGCTACAGAGTTCAGAGGCTCTGCTCGGATGTTCCCCAAGTCAAGTGCAGAGTCCGTCTCTTCATCAATTTCTCCAATGACTGCCCTATTGTTAGTGTGGGAACAGATAAGAGTTAAGTACATGCTGAAATAAACTTCCATACAATTCTAAAATCCCATGAACTACAGCATCTCCCAAACATGGCACTGAGAAGGTGCAGTAAAAGCGTAAGGTGGGGAGCAAATGCCATTTATGACTCACTGAATTACTCACGTAGTCAGAGCACTCGAGAAACAATGTGAAGGCAGTATTAAGGAACAAATATTAAAGAGATACTGCCATGTGTTTGAACATCGGATCTTTGAAAACTAATGGTTGATCTGCTGCATTTACTTACAGTCAAACAAAAGCCCCCAAGGGGGCAATTGCAAGCTACTAACAAAGACGCTAATCCATTTACTTACAAACATTCTTAAAACTCCAGGTCTTTTTCATGAGCTCTTAAAAGCAGGTTATAGCCCCAGTAGGTTTAGGGTAAATGTCCAATTTTGGTTTCTTTGTACGTAGACATAGGAGGCACTCTAAAAATCAATGAGTCCACTCACTCACAGTACCATGTTTCATCTGTTCTGCTGTGGTCAGAGGACAAGGGGCCCTCTGCTCTGGCTCATCCTTTACTACTCACGTTATAATTTCACCTAAAATTCATCTCCAGAAAACACTTTATAAATTATAAACCCAATTTTGATTAAGGAGCAATCTACCTATTTACCACATAGGTTTCGGGTAATGTTAAGTGAATAAAGCACATATTCTTTTTAAGATAAACTTACAGTATTCACTAATGAATTAAACTTACAGTCCATTAAATGAATTAAGTATCCCTTCTCCTATCATCTTACATAGCCCTTCAAATCACCTAAAGTTACTAATATCTTTTGCTGTCCTGTAATCATATTTTGACTCTTCACAGTATTCTAGAAACATTTAAATTAAATTTAAATTTTAGCCACATAAGGCAGATTAGTCCTATAATCCTAATACTTGGGAAGGAGAATGAAAAAAGTCTGGGCTATACAGCAAGCTCCAGGTCAGCCAAGGTTACCTATCAAAAAAGAAAAAAACACCAAAACAAACAAGCAAAAACATCAACAAAAAAAATCCCCCAAACTCCAAAATTCAAATTTAGTTCCTTGGTCACCAGGCACTTCTCAAATACATCTCCACAAAGCAAGTAGGTGTACTGCTCAGAACAGTTACAGTCTTTGTCAAATGGCCACCTCTAAGATATTCTCCACCTAGACTGTCAGTGTCCTCAATTCAAGACAACGGGTTTTTCATGGGACATGTTAAGTACATCCAGTTCACTAAAATGGTGACAGCTAAATGAGCCCAAATTATTTAAAATAGCCCAAACAGGAGATTTTTAAAGAGATTTTCCAAGATGTTAAAAAGCCTCTTCAAGAAAGAATTTGGTGCAAAGCAGGGCACTTGCTGGGCCTATCCAAGTCACTTTCCTATTAGAAACACATACAAAACAGTGGTTTAGGATACACAGAGGCTGTGGTAATAGGTGGATCAAAGTTCAAAGTCAGTCTAAGCAACTTAGAAAAGCCTGGTCTCAAAATGTAAAAAGTAAAGAGAGCTGGAGAGCACACATCAGTGGGAGACCGCATGTTCTGCATGTATAAGACTCTACGTTCAAAGGCCAATTTTCAAATAGGTAAACACACATGAAGTCTCAGGAGGTAAATGTCTAGTTTGTGAAGAGAAGACTTTAGTTGGTTTCTGAGGTCTCAACATAAAAAGTATAAATTACATGTAAGATAAACTGTATCTGCACAACAGATAAATGCGCAATTCTATTACATATGGATAACATCATATAAGTTGATAAGTAAATGAACATGAAGTCTCAGGAAATAAATATCTGGTTTGTGAAGAGACCACTTTAGCTGGTTCCTGAGGTATCTAACCATAAAAAGCATAAATTAAATACAAGATAAACTATATCTGCAAAACAGATAAATACACAATTCTATTAATGTATGAATAACATTATATAAATTGGGGAAAATCTCTCTTCCATAACGCAAGCACACCAGTAGTGAAAATGTAACTTTACTCAAAATGACTTATTTTACTTACACATTGTCACCTCTCACGATGTATAATCCTAATACGACTTGTTCTACTCCTTGTGAAGAGCTGAACACCCTCTCATGGCTTTCATCCAAAATCAAATTAATGGTCTGGTCAAAACCTTTTAGTGTTCCCTGGAAAGAAAACATGCAAGAAAAAACAAAATGCTTTATGACGGGAAACACTTGTACCAGGAACCTATGGTGCAGCTGCAAAGGACACCCAGGCACTAGCACTTCCAAGTAAGTAAACTCACACAGTCTAGGAACTAGCACTAAGAACACAAACTAAAAAAAGACACATTGAAGATAAAATGATTTTTTTTAACATTAATAATAAGGAGACGCACAAACCAGCCATACAACGGATCACTGTATGTTACTTCTTAGTGAAAGGCGCTGGCTAAAGAAATACACTGCACAAATCACCTCCACTTTTCTTCTCCTTGGAGATAGTATAGTGTTTTGTCCACTTCAAATTCGGGACCCGATGCTCCAGAAAATGATGATTCAAGATTTCATGGATAGTAAACAGTAGATTCAGTATAGAAAAACAAGAGGAGCTCTAGAGCCAGATCACAAAGTAACCACGCTATTTATTCTGCTGTAAACAATGCTTTCCAAAAAATTAATCTATAAATACACACAAAATCACATGGAAGTTACAGCTAACATTCAGTATATCCTTGTTGCCAATATTGTGTCTTGTGTGTATGTACTATTGAATTCTTAGTATTACAGTAGACATATATAGAGCCGAAATAATCAGAAACTTAAGTTGAAGGAAACAATCAGGAAAAATTATGTGGCTACAGAAAAACGTATATCAGGAATGCTGTTTAAGTTTGTGAAGAAATAGTTTATTTTGGATTTGGGTGGTTAATCTCTTGGGTCCACCATTAAACTCCCATGTTCTTAAAGCCATAATTATATAAAATCAGAATGGAATAAATAAAAACTTATAATCTGGGAATTGGGAAGAAAAACAAATTAGACTATTTACTATAGCAATTAGCAAATGGTGGTTACCATAAAGCCCTAAAAGGGTCTTCTCGCCTTCATTTTATATGCAAATATTTTGTCAGGTGACTATGTGATAAAGACAGAACTACTTGGCCGGGCGGTGGTGGCGCACGCCTTTAATCCCAGCACTCGGGAGGCAGAGCCAATTCGATCTCTGTGAGTTCAAGGCCAGCCTGGGCTACCAAGTGAGTCCCAGGAAAGGCGCAAAGCTACACAGAGAAACCCTGTCTCAAAAAACCAAAAAAAAAAAAGACAGAACTACTGAATCTAATGTTTCTGTTTAGCTTTTCTTCTATAAACATTTTCTAACAGAAATAAGAAATTTAAACATGAGGTTTTCAAAAATCAGCTATTTGCAAATTAAGTAACAAACCTCTTACAGTATTGAAACTAACATACTCCTAATTACTTATTACTAATTGCCCACAGTTCACAAATTTAAGACTGTGAACTCACCACTACCACAAACAAACAAAATCCTACATATTTGTGTCCTTTATTAAGAACAAGCAAGGGACATAATCTTGGTTTTGGAATAAAACACAATTTACAACACTACAGTTTTGTCACTTTGCTATACTGAATGTCTGGGAAAGTAACTCGTTTTTTTTTTTTTTTGTTTTTTCCTAAACTTGGTTCCTAATCTACAATGTAAGTGGTAGTTCTTCACAAGGTTGTTTGCACACTAAGTAACACACAAAAATTCTTAGCACATGATATACATTTAGTCTATGGCAGTCTATCCCTTTGACTGGTATTGCTCAGAATCCAAAGGATTAAGAAGAAAATAAAGGGGCTGAAGAGATGGCTCAGTGACTAAGAGCATATACTGTTCTTCCAAAGGACCCTTCCTGGCACCCACACACAGTGTGTCTCACAACTGCCTGTAACTCCAGGTCCAGTGTACCTGACAAAGTCTTCTGGGCTATTTGTGTAGTGTAGCCCCACACACAAGGCAGGCATTCACACAGACATACACACAAACATGAGTAAAAATAAATCTTTAAGAAAAAATAACTGAAATCACAAATGAGAAAACATGGGATTAAATTACAGTCATGCAAGAAATATTTCAGAGACAGCAGATTAAAGCAATGGTCCCAAAGATCATACCCTAGTGAAGTCATAGCTAACTTAGTTTCTGAAACTGCATTCACTGTTTTGAAGAACAATGAAATCACTGAATACTCATTTCTCAGATTGGATCTCCCCACTGTTAAGCAACCTATAGAAAGCATATGCATATGTAAATCGTTAAAGATCTCTAAATAAAAAACAAACAAACAAACAAAAGGGAATGGAATGGAAATAAAACAAGAAGAAAATGAGTCAGCTTATTAAACAGCTCTGCACTTTGTGTCAGAAGTCTTCAAGGTTTATTAGAGAAGTTATATTGGCAGTCAATAGACAGGGGTTTGTCAGCTGAATCACAATAACACTAGAATCCAAGTTATACTGTGGTACTTGAACATTAGTTCAGAAATGTTACTTACAATCAGCCTACAAGAAAGAGAAGAATAAAAATGCTACTCACCACAATCATTCTCCCATCAGAAGTGATAACAGCAACGGTTCCTGAGAACTGAGTCAAGGGAAGTATTTCTTAGAGATTACAAACTGAAAACTTTCAGCCTGGTAAGGAAATGGTTTCAATTACTTAAAAAAGAAAAGAAAAAAAAAAAACGTGGCGGAATTAAGATGGAACACAGCCACGCTCATGAGGGGGAAAACTTAAGTTTGTTAAAAAACTTATTTCAATTCTACCTTGAAAACACTTAATCAAATAGAAGAAGAGTGTAGTCTGTGACGTTTGACCCTGGTTTAAAAAGCAATGGTTTCAATCTATGACCCTGAGCAAGACAGTTCCTTCCTTTCTTAGACCCATTTCTTCACCTCTGAAATAAAAATTGGATGAGTGTTAATCAATGCTGCATCATTTTTAGCATGTTAAGACCCTTCTAGTCCAAGACCTGGTCATAACTGAAGCCATCAAGTACCAATAATCTTTGCTTCACTAAAAGCTCTTCTGTATTTTTTTGTTTCTTCTTTGTGCATATGCTCAGTGCAATGTTTCTGTCCTGACTTTAAAGCAGCAGTTATCTTTTAAAATTGTATAAGGGCTTTGGAAAGCTCCTTGCCTCTCACTAAACCCCATGACGACTACAAGCTTTCTTTTTATTCTATCGCACAGACACTTGAAGTGGAGGTAGGGGCCCGAAATTCAAATTTGAGAACCATCTTTCTATTTATGCTACCCCCGAAGAAACAGCAAGCCTGCGAGTAACTACAAACTGATAGTCCTTAGGAAAACAGTTCATCTTATTCCCAGTGTTGGAACACACAAGCCTTACGGAGTCTGGAACAATCAATCGAAAGGCTACTTGCAGGAAAGTTCTGAGGACACTGGGATCTGTGATGGGGGGGGAAAGAGCCCCGGGTGGGTCCGGATGATCCCACCGCGGATCGGGACCCGAGTTCCCCCCGCGCCGCCCGCGCCCCCGGCCTCCGGTCCCGCCCCGCGCCGCGGCCTGAGCAGCCGCCCGCCCGAGGATACGGTTGATGTAGTTCTCCAAGGCAGACGTCATGCTGCTGGGCCCGGAGGTTCCGGGAATAGGAGGAACCGGGAACAAGGGGACGAGATCACGGCCCGCGAGCAACAGGTACCGGTTCGCGCCCGCGGCTGAAGACAAATATCGCGAGACTTCCCAGGCCTTAGCGGTAGCCAATCCGCAATTGAAAGGAGCCGGACAAACAGGAAGTAGGGCGGTGCTGACTAGGGCGCCTGCGCAGTGTGTTTCCGCTGGGCTTCCGGGCGGCGATCAGTAGGAGGAGCTAGACGAAGGCGGGGAGAGGCGGAAGTGAGGCGCTCTCCCGGAAGGTGGGCTGGATGGAGACGCGGGGAGGGCGCTAGCTAGGGCAAGCACTGGGGTAGTGACTGAGGTAGTGTGGGAAGACACGCTGTGCCGGAAGACACACGAGATAAGATGTTTGCTCGGCGATCCAGGGAGGAGAAGAGCTTTTTTGTTCTCACAGGCAACGTAGACGCAGGGTGGAGGGAGTCCAGCTTTCCCCAAGCGTGAGCCAACAAAGTCCAAAAAGGCAAATGGCGCAGTGCAAAGTGAGCACGTTGTAACCACATAATATACATTTTCGGATAATCAAACTACTAAAAAAAAAAAGAGAGAGAGAGAAAAGCTTGCGTGTCCTGAATTTGGATCTTCAAGTGTCACAAAGCAACCTTTAAAAAACGAATTCCAAATAGGTAAAGGTGTATGAACCTTCTTTAAGAAATAGATAGCCGAGCGGTGGTGGCGCACGCCTTTAATCCCAGCACTCGGGAGGCAGAGCCAGGCGGATCTCTGTGAGTTCGAGGCCAGCCTGGACTACCAAGTGAGTTCCAGGAAAGGCGCAAAGCTACACAGAGAAACCCTGTCTCGAAAAACCAAAAAAAAAAAAAAAAGAAATAGATGGTCTCCTTTCTTTGATAGACGAGGCTTAGCTATCCCTGGGGTGGAAGTCTATAATTTAAAAAATCTGCATTACCACTGTGAAGGAACCGATTGGAGAAAAGTGTAAAATAAGCACCGGGCTGGGTTCTAATTCTGTCTTTGATCATTGATGTCCCTGTTGTAAGTCACTTAAACTCTTCTTGATGAGTTTTCTTAGATCCTGCCATAGCTGTATCAATTTGCAGTTGTCTTGATAAAAGTAGGACACTCACCGCTCGTCTGTCTCTCTCTCTGTCTCAGTCTCTCTCTCTCTCTCTCTCTCTCTTTCTCTCTCTCTCTCTCTCTCTCTCTCTCTCTCTCTCTCTCTCTGTCTCAGTCTCTCTCTCTCTCTCTCTCTCTCTCTCTCTCTCTCTCTCTCTCTCTCTCTCTCTCTCTCTCTCATGTGCGTGTGTGTGTGTGTGTATCTACACAAGTTCTCAAAAGTCTTGTATCAATAAGCTACAACCAGCCTCCTCTGACCCCTCTCCCCTACTACAGTGTTATAATTTTTTTTCTGTGGTGCTTTCAATTCAAGATTGGAGATGAGGAATCTGCACACCTAATAACGGAAAAAAGCAATATTTCTTTAGTTGTTGTTGGGTTTAAATGTCTTTCTTAGCTGAAGAATTAAGGCTTTGGAATGCTTTCACTTTCTGTGCCTTGGTTTTACCATTTGGTTATTGGAGAAAATGACAGTTGTTACGTCATCAAACTTGGAGAACTAAAAGAATTCCTTTAAAGCTTGCTATGCAAACTCTATCTATTTCTATTCAAGAAAGTAGATTGCATCATAAGTAACTTTTTTCATCACCCCAAAGCTTATGCTAACATTTTGTATACTGTCGTATTTTCATTATAAGTGCTTTATGGGAATGTGATATGTTATGTGTAAAAGTATTGGAAAGCTTAAAAAGAAAAAGAGATAAGACTTAAATTAGAACTTGAGGGAAAGTACAAGTACACTTTAGGGAAATGGACTGGATACTATTATTTAGTGACAATATGGACGGAAGTTAAGCTGTCAGGAGTCTCAGTATGAGTTCCTGGTTCATTGCAGGAATAGGAAGTGAAGGGACTCTAGCCAACCGGAACATGATAAACATGGCTCTAGTAAGCCTTGACTTTCTCCCCTATTCCCTCTGCTATAACACGAATCCTAAGAGGTCTAATTAAATAAAAAACACGGAGCCAGGTATCAGGGTTAAAACCTGAGAGATCAGAGGAATAGGGAAAGCCACAAGCCAACCTCACCTTACTGACCCTCAGCTTCCAAAAAGACTTACTTCCTGTATACCCATGCCTGTATGCCTTTCTGTTCTGCTAGCTCATTTGCTCTCTCCGTCCAGCTCATTACTTCCTCTTCCTGCCCAGCTCTGTCACTTCTTGTCCATCTGTACAGACCTCCATGGTTAACTAGTGTTGGAATTTAAGGTGTGTACCACCATGCCTAGCTCTGTTCACAGTGTGACCTTGAACTCACAGAGATCCAGATGACTCTCTGTCTCCCAAATACCAGGATTAAAGGTATGTGCTACCATTGCCTGGCCTCTATGTTTACTATAGTGGCTGGCTTTTTCCTCTGAATCTCAGATAAATTTTATTGGGAGACACAAATAAAATATCACCACACTTTGCCTTGCTAAAAACCATTAGATTGCATTCCTAAAGCCAGCCCCCAAGGTCCATTCCCATATTTGGCCAATTCCTCCTCCTGAGGTTGACTACCAAGGTCCAGCTATCAAAGTACTGAAGTCCAGCAATCAAAAGCCCCCTTTGGCTCACCTGATTAACATGCCCAATTAAAATTAAGCACCCCATCCTAACACAGGGTTTCTCCTATTGCCTTTATAAACCACCATTTTCCTATGGACCACATCTGTCTCCTCTCTATCCAGAGATAGTCCTTTGTGCCCCCACTCCCCCGCCAACCCTGGGACAAATACCCCTTACCCTCTCCATTGCCCTTTTCTCCCCACATCCCTTGTTCCTTTCCCCTTCTTCCGCGTCCTCTATCTCCTGTCTTTGTCCCTTAACCCTGCCCTCTGTCCCTCTGGGACAAATAAATCTCCTTTGTACTGGGAACTTGGTCTTAGGGTGTCTTGAGCTGATTTCAAGGTTCCCTACAGGATAGATAGAAAAAAAATATGTGATCAGAAAACAGAGAGAAAGGAGAGTCTGTATCTGTATCTGACAATTTATGGGTAGCATGATAATAGTTGATGAGGCAGGAGGATAGAAATAAAAGATAGGACTGTTAAAGTAGACAAGCCTCACCTGTTAAACCATACAAATGTGTTAGTCAATCAACAATGTATAGCCAATGTTTTTAGTAGTAGTAGTAGTAGTAGCAGCAGCAGCAGCAGTAGTAGTAGTAGTAGTAGAAAGTCATAGGACAACATTCAGAACTCAGTTATCTCTTTCTACCCAGGGACCACAAGAATCAAACTCCTTATAAACACTTTGACCTGCTGAGCCATCTCCTCAGCCTCTACCCTGTGTTTTCAGCTGGTTTCTTTTCTGGGTTTTGCCATCATGAAACATGTTGTTACTGTCAGAGCTGTTCGTTGATTGCAGTCAAGCTCCATTGGACAACACTGCCATTGCTATTGTTGCCTATGAAAAGTCCTCAGTGATGTGGGGGAAGTGACCCATGTGACCTAGACAGAGGGTGCTTTATGACCCAGGGTGCTTAGACCCACATGCTTCTGGCCAGTTCCTCAGATTCCAGGTTAGGACATTCACACAGCAGGAGAGGCAGACTCAACACTGGTCTCTTTCTGGTGCATTTTGTCAGTTTCTTCACTGTTACACATGAATGTTGCTCAGTTTCTCTGATGAGAGTTGGCAAATTACCATCTGTAGCCAGATTTTTTTTGGTAAGAACATTTTGCTGTCACAAAGTCACAGCCATTAATATTTATATTGTGTGTGTGTCTGCTTTAGGGTGTCAGTAGCACAACTGAGTGATTCTAGGAGTTACAGTAAACCTAAAATATTTACTAACTGGCATTGGGCAGAAAGTTTGAAGATCTCGCTTCTGACCAACAAATAAAAATTCTCAAGCTTTTATGGCTGTATTTCCAAACCCGTTGCTCTGATCTACCTCACTGCCCTAATGCTCACTTCTAGCTGTGTTATTTCCTCCCTCTTTCCTTTCCTGTTACTGTCATTTCAATCAAGAACATGCAGTTATTTTTCCAACTCAATTAATCATGTAATGACATTTTTCTCATGCATGAATATGAGAGAAAATAATGATCTTTATTTTAGCATATGCTCCACAAAACTAAATTAAAATCACAAATTGTATTATAACAATGCAATGGATTGAAACAATTACTAGACTTTTACAACACAAATAATTCAAATTAAAGACAGCTATTTGTAGGAATTATTAATCTTCATTTTTCAGGTATTCAACATCCAAGCTCTTCCTGTGTCTCTAAGGAATTCTCTGTAAGTTTAGGTGGGAGAAAAAGCTCAATGTATCATGCATTCATTTTCTTGCAATGACAGTCTTGGGTTGTGCTTAAGACTACTCTAGACTTTTACTTGGGAACTAGTGTTGCAAAACAACAAGACATACAAGCAACCTATTTTACTGTGCACATTAGTCTAGCAACAGCAAGCTCATAATATGATTTTAGGCTACACAAAGATTTCATTCAAAAGTGCTTGATGCTATAAGTCATGACTACATTTTTGTCCTTGTAGATCTGTCTTTTCCTGGGAATTAGACTTGTTTTCATGCTACAGAGCTTGTTTTACCCAGTGTCAATATTAAAAGACCTCATGTGCTTCTCAAACTGTCCATAGAATCTTCTTGGAGCTTCTATAGAACAAAGATGCTTCATTCATAGGAGTCCTTAGCATTTTGTTCTTGTTTCATTCTCTTATATATGACAAGTGCCCATTTCTGAACCAGTCCCTTTGCTTAGGTCCAAGGATCCCTACGGAGTTTAACCTAGGAATAAAGGTCTGTCTACACAAAGCACTTGACTGCTTTAAAAGGGGAATAGATGAGTTCTAAAGAAAATCAGACTCCTTTCTGTTGGAAATAAAAGGGAACAGAGGCTAAGGAGGCAGCCAACAAATACCTACTGTTATCTAAGATATATTTAAAACTAATGCAATATAGGTCTGTGCTGGCTAGTTTTATGTCAACTTCACACAAGCTAAAGTCATCTGAGAGGAGGAACCTAAATTAA